AATTAAATTGACTGTGTTCTTGCTTTGTCTGGTTAATCAAGCAGATAATAACCAGATAACAAGGCAGACTTGATGCTTCATTCTCTCTCCAGTCTTTGTACTGTGCGTATGTATCTCATGAGGTGTCCTATATTAATATCCATGAGTATGTTTATTTCTAAAAATGTTTTCGCTAACATTAAGTCTGAGATATATTTAATGTCGTTTTGTGCTTTACTGTACAAACACTGTTTTTAAAAGCATTTAGCTGGCCCAGCACATTGCCTGGTCAAACAACAGCAATCAGTGTGGCCAATTTACAACAATACTCGGAAGTTAGATGTAATTCTTTATATAGAACCACATGGATCACAGATAAAAGATGAGGAACACAGTGTTCAGGACACCAGCTGATGCTCTCTGTCTCTTCTGTCTCCTCTCTTTCTATCTTTCTGCTTTCTGTTCACCTGAACCACGACGCGAGGCACAGGCGCTGTTCGTCCTGACACTTGCTTGAGGCACCTCGAAAGGTCATGAGACGTAATAATAACAGCAGGGGGACATTCTGAATAATGATAGTAGACATTTATTATACAGGAGCACAAGCAAGCCCCTGCAGGGTTTGTGCTGGGTCAGTCATTTATGATGCTGGGCTAGGTTTCAGAAATAACCACATTTACACCAGGTCCTAATTATTCCCCTCTTGTCGCTTTACTACCTTAGGAAGCTGACATTATTGCCAAGCCAAGCTTTGGCAATCAGGTGAAATGAGGCTTTATTAATAGGCAATTTCATTTTCAGAAGCTTTCACACATGCTCAGATTTTTCTCTGCAATTTAGACTGCTTAGGCATGAGCAGACTAAGGCTCCTTAACAATAACTTAAATCATGGGTAATTCAAGAAAGACACTGAAGAAAATAGCAATGGAAAAAAATAGATTCCTTTGTTTGCTTTCCTCTACTGTAACTGAGAGTCTGACTGATGCAAGAGAGAGTGACAGTGCCGTGAAGGCAGTGACAGAAACTGATGGGAGAGAGGCGCAAAAAGGGAGACGAGAGCCAGAAGATTAAGTGCAACAGTGAAAGACGGGCAAGAACGTGAGGGTCTGTGTTAACGTCTGTAAAGTGAGAGTAAGAAACTGGGCAGTGAATGATTGAGAGAGGATGATCCAGCCAGAAAAAAAAATGAAATGAATGGATTAGAGGAGGGAGAGACAAATGGGACTGTTCAACAACAGTCACTCTGGCAAAGTTTCATCAGCGTGAGAGAGGACTTGTCGTGCTCAGAGTCACAGCAGATGGCCAGCACTATCAAGTGCTAATAGAGGTATGTAGCAGCCACTATTGGTGGTAAAACTCAACCAACCGAAGATTCCTCTGTGACGACACCATCTATTGCTGCTTATCTGGTGTCAAGTGAACAAGTAAACAATTTAGTGGCTTCTGGCACATTCTAATGTCACTATTTCATCCTAAACACAGTTATAGTATATGTTACGTTGTTTACCTACCCAATTAAAACATATAGACGATAAAGAAATGGTAAAGGAAGCTTAGTCTTTTTCTGCATTTTATCTCACAAAGAATGTAAATGTCAGTTATAAATGGACAGATTGCTGTATGTGTCTGTTCTTTGCATTTTATGCATGAAGGTCCATGAAATGTACTCCTAATTGGACTGGTGTATTATTAAGAAAGTAAAGGAGAGCAGTGTTGAGTTTGTTTGTATTAGCATTTTGTTCTTTTTAATTTTAGTAATTAAAAATAATGCAACCTATTCTACAATTTATGCATTTATTGACAAGGTTTATGCCACAGTGATAATTTTTAATCCTATGATGTCTTATCTAGTCTATCAAAGTGAGTACTAGTCACATTTTCCTCATCTGCCTGTCATACTGGCTGCCCTGAAAACAATTTTTTATTGTTAATTAAAATTAGACAAAAGATTTAAGCTAGCTCAAACAATAAAGGCAAACTCTTTAGCGAACGATGATCAAGACCAGTATTAGATATTTGGCTATATTCTTTCATTTCAATCTAGGCTGTTACTTCCAACATTCTAACATGTGAAATTAGCTAACATTAGCTTGCATGCTAACTGATTACTAATGGCAGTATTACTATTCTTGAATAACACTAGCTAACCGTATCTAATTACAAATGGTAGGTTAACTTAGGCTAGTGTTAGCAAAGTAAATTAAAATGATGAGAACACATAATATTTAATTTTAACTGCAAAAAACGTATGTTACCTTAGTTGTGGATGACTCTATAGCTTCGGTTTTTAAATGGGTGACTTTACACCCTAGTGGTTAACAAAAACTCAGCTGACACAGTGGTAAAGATGCGGATTTTGAATGTGCTCCATACAGTTTGTGGCACTGTGAGGTTGTATAAGAATAATCTCAGAAGTTTTTTTTCTAATACTTCAGGAAATTTTTATAAGGAACTTGTTCATATGCTCCGTAGTGCTGAGCTAGCAGTGCTGTTATGTCAGAGATAATGATAAATTGATGGCACGCATACTAATTGATTTGAGAGGTCAATGTAATAGCATGAATTTAATGAGACAAAATAAACAAAAGTGGAGCCAAGTGACAGGGAAACACAGAGCTTCTGGTGAGTCTTGGGTTACTCAGTAACTAACACAAAAACATAGTTAGCGGCTATCTGGTATGTAGCTGTCTTTGGAAAGAATGTAGAAATGTATATCATTCATATTTATTCACTGCAATTTTGTTTCAATTTCTGGCAAACCCATAAATCAAATCAAATTAATAAAAAAAATACAATCTAGCAAGAAGCAGAGAGTTATATTTAAAGTAAAAGCAAAACCTGTTGAGTATTTATAGAAACTGTCATTGAAAGGTACAGTAGTGACAGCATGAAGCTAACAAAAGAAAACAAAAAGGTAAAATTAAAATTAATCTTGACAGCAACATTTGTTTGAGCTCTTTCCATCTGAGGGATAAAAGACTGCTGCATCAGTAAATGAAAACAGCCATGAAAGCACGCTTTCAAATACATCTAATTTCTGCTGTAGGTACAAATTCCTTTGAGCTAAATGATGACTGTTCTGCTTTATGATGCTTGGCTCGCATTACAAGCAGGATAGGGCCCTCACACACTCACATGCTGCGGTTGAGGTGTGCCGCTGAAGTGGCTGTTGCACAAACCATTTGGTGTACTTATCACTTACTGTCCCACTATGTGGCATTCAGCAACACCCACTAATTATACGTCATATTACTGTGTGTGTGGGACCCACAAAGAAAATTTCATGTTTATACTAACTAATGCTGATTTTCTGTTGCTACTAGGTGGAGCTAGTAGACAAAATATTAAGATAAGATAAGATAAGATAGAACTTTATTAATCCCTCGGGTGGGTTCCTCTGGGAAATTCGATTTCCAAAAAAGCACAGCACCGACAGAAGTTACAGAGTTACAGAATATTATATATATATATACACACACACACACACACACACACACATATATATAATACAGAGACAATATAAATAAAATATACGAAGGGGATAAATAGAATAAATAGGAATAAAAAATAAAAATACAAGTGAATTGCACATTTCAAGTATTGAGGTCTATTGCACTGTTGACTATTTACAAAAGTATTGCACAAAAGGTATTGCACAGTGAGGTGAAGAGGCACTACAGCTTAGTTGTTCCCCCCTCCTTTGTCCTCCTGTTTCCCCTCCCTCTCCCCTCCAGAGAGGAGTTAAACAGTCTGATGGCGTGTGGGACAAAGGAGTTTTTAAGTCTGTTAGTTCTTGTCTTGGGGAGAAGCAACCTGTCACTGAACAGACTCTTCTGGTTGTTTATGGCCGTGTGCAGAGGATGCCCAGCATTGTTCATAATGTCCAGCAGTTTCTTTAGTGTCCTTTTCTCTGCCACTGTCACCAGAGTGTCCAGCTTCATGCCGACCACAGAGCTAGCCCTCCTGATCAGTTTCTCCAGCCTGGATGAGTCCTTCTTTGCTGTGCTGCTCCCCCAGCACACCACAGCATAGAAAAGTACTCCAGCAACCACCGACTGGTAAAACATCCTCAGGAGCTTCCTGCAGATGTTAAAAGACCTCAGCCTCCTGAGGAAGTACAGTCGGCTTTGGGCTTTTTTATACAGGTGCTCTGTGTTGCATGACCAGTCCAGTTTATTGTCCACCCACAGCCCGAGGTACTTGTATGTGTTGACCACCTCCACCTCCTCCCCCTCTATCTGAACCGGCAGTGGACCTGCTCTAGACCTCCCGAAGGTCTAGACATGCATAGATGTAGATGTTTCCATTTTTGGAGTCTAATCAAGAATGTCTTGGGCAGTGGTGAATGAGTGAAATTAACTGTGCTGTCACAGTCATGCAGTCCACTTAAAACTCTCTTTTACTTTTAAAAGTAAGCAACATCAACATCTAAAGTTTATTCAGATGTAGATGTGATTATTCTGTTAGGAGAACAAAACATACCATTTCCTGTTCCCACTAAGTGGTGCTACATTGTAGACCCAAAACTGGCAGAAACTTCATGTCACCATGAACATGTCTTTTAGCACCCCCCAAAAAAAGACTCTCAGAGAGGATTCTCTCAAATTCCAGTGTAATGCCCCAAAATGGTTAAAAACTACTAAACTGTCACCTTAATTTGGAAATTATAGAATTTTTATTGGGTTTAGGGCATGGCCGCAAGAGGATTTTTAAAAAATATCACAGGGTGTTACATGGTTGTGCCAAATTTCATAAATCTACATTAAACACAGGAGTGCGGCTCCTTTGCGTCATTTTTGTATGGGTTCCTATGGAGCTGTTTTAACTCTCCCCATATATAAGACCTGTAAAATTAATAGATTTTCGCTAGTCTTAATTTCATCATTTTTCAGGCAGTTCATTGCTGTAAATAATGATAAAGAGAGCAAAGTGCTTGGGCATTATTGAATAATAAAACACATATGAACTACATTTATCTAATTAAATGCAATGCTTACTAGAAAAAACATATTGTTAAAAAAAAAAAACAGTATGAATCCTGCATTATGCTGTGACACACTAAAATGAACCCAAATGTTGCTCAGCTAGCACCGAAACTGTTTGAACTTGCTATGCAGACAAACAAATTTCACAAGTGAGTGAGTGTGTGATTAATGAGAAACTAAATTTTTTCCCTCTAAATAACACCAAATCAGAAAAAGTTAAAAACCTGCATCATTTTCCTTGATTTATCTGCAAGAAATGCCATCATTTGCCCTCTGATTTATGCAGTTGTCTGTGATTGAATAAACAAGGCTGAGTTCCACTTCCTCCAGCAGTGCCGTTATGTGCTATTTATATTGCGGTTGTTTGGAGCATCATTTCGGCATTCCTCTTTGCACAGCAGTGTATTTGTGGCTGCAGGATGGTGCATTATGCATGGATGCCAATGAAACTTGTCATTAAAGTGGCCTCGTTTAGGAGTTCTGTGCTCTCTCTAAGCTAAAAAAGACTGAATAGAGATATAGAAAAACAGCAAAAGCTACATGCATTTGTCATGTGGACGTGTAAATGATCAGCTGTCAACTCCTGTGGAATATCCTTAATATTTCACTGTGCAAAGCATGTTACAGACTTCATGCATAAAACAGGCAGACCAGGTTTTGTAAAGATGTTTTATTGAGGTACGCGGCCAACCAACGAATCTGGGAAACATCCAAACACATACTTAACATTTTGAAGTCTTTAAGGTGTAAACAGTAGATGCTACGTGAAATTAGACACAATTCATGATAGCACATTTTTAGATGAGTAAAATCAAACTTCCAGTTATGCTGTGACAACATATTCCCCCTGGAATATGTTTTCAGGAGTGTGGTATTGTTTATGCTGCTGTCTCTCTGCCAACAAAGACAAACCGTAAGTCCACCAGCTGAAGTACTTGATGGTGAATTGAAGTTGCAGTTGAAGTATTTTTAAATACAACATCTACAGTATTACTATCAAGGAGACACATCTACAAAATTACAGCTTATTCAAATGACTCAAAATAAAGTGCTACTCCCGTGATGACAAGAGAAGCTTTTAAAGGAAAAAATCACAGCTTCTAAAGGCTTCCACAAAAAATGCAGACTAAAAGGAATCAGCTAGATCCTTGTGCTCTGAAAAGGATGGGTGAACTAAAATGCGTTTTAATTTATTATTCAAATGATGCAATCTGTCCTTGAGTTCTAGATTTCTTTCACATTCCTGATTTTCCACACGCAAACTCAGGGACAAGGACTTTTTAAAAAAAGAAGAAGATTTTAAATAAATAATAACTTAGTGCGTAGAACTCTAAGCAATCCAAAATGTACTGGTATTAAAAAATGGCTTGACTTTACGTCAGAACTGACCAGTCACATCAATAATATAAGGACAAAGGAGGCCAAATGGGGAGTGGAAGATGGAGATGACAGGCTGACATTTGATCAATGATGACTCGTGCACCCATGGGTACAACACTACCTGCATGTACACTGACTCATAACGGTTCAGCACTCGTGTCATCCCTTTCACTGCACAGCCTCCTACTCCTCCTGTTTTCCTGTGTCCCTCTAAGCTGTCAGTGAAACTCCTTGTCATGGTCAGAAGGAACCCCATTGTGCTGTTGTTTTTCAGGCAGACTGCCTACAGTTTTTTTCCTCTTGTTTCAAGCTCTAGTGAACATGTTAAAATTCTGGGCAACGCTTGCAACATCCCACTGAGGCTCTTCAGCAGGTCCCTGCAGAAACCGGCAGGTTTATGCCCACCGAGGTCTTTCATGCGAAAAACAGCAGAACACCTTCTGCCACTTGTAACTTCTAAACTTGGTAGATGTTGACATTTTTCTTCCTCAGTGCTCACGACAAGCTCCCAAACAACCCCCTTAGTCTTCCTAAAGAGATTTGCCTCCCTTTTAGCTTTGATTTCTTTTACCTCATCTGTTTGTAAAATAGTAACACAACAGAATAAGGACGGTAGACAAACACAGCTGTGTCTCAAAAGTGGACAGACATAATAATCTATAAAATTTTACTTAAAAGAAAGGAACAATTTTCAGGCAATTCCTGGGAGTTCATGTTTTTGTTTTAAAGATAGTCGAAAAGGTAAACTCTGAGTCTTTGGGTAGATAGTGATGTTCACAGGGTTTGACAGACTTTCATACCAGAAATTAAAAGATGCTGGACAATTTTTATAGCATACTTTAATTGTCATTTCATAATGAAAAGAATCAGTTTTTGATTTTTGTGTGAAAAACCTCTTCTTTTTGCACTGTCAAATCATTGAGTGCAGTCGTAACTCAGCCAGAAACTACAGACAATTTTCAGATCTGGTGTATTCCTTTCATCTTATCCTGCCGTCTGTCTAAATGGCAGTAGCTTTCCATAGCTGGCAGTGGTTGTTCTTGGCAAGTGCCTATTGTTGTAGCAGTCTACACGAAGCTGATATCAGTCCCCAGGGCAGAGACCCTGAAATTAGCAGATAGGAATGAGACACACGGAGTGGGTAGAAACAAGAAAAGGACACTGATAGAAGCATCATGTTCCCATGACAGGATTCAGCCTCCTCCCACGCTGGTAGACGTCTTTTTGATGAGGAAAAACTAAATCTGAGCTGGCATCCAGCAGACATTTTAAAGCATTTTTGACCACCCTTGTCTACTAAACATCGATTTATTGGCTTTGAAAAGATAAACCTACAAGAGAACTAGAGCAGGGCAATTGCATAACTGCCCCCTCCATTAAAGGCTTACAATCAACCAGCTGAGCTGGAAACCATGTGTTTATGAGGGGCTGTGGTTCCAGATCCTTGCAGAAGTGTGTATTATGTTTTTAGTTTTTCTGTGTTTGGCTGACCAGTTGGAGAAGCTGGAGCAGTTGTTTAGCCAGGGGAATGAGGCAGAAGAGGGGTAGTTTTAAAATGGGTGCATCCCTGGGGAACGTAGATGTGGAAAGATGGTGGTCTGTGCACAAAGGTTCAAATCTCCTCTATGGAATCAGCTGGGACCAGCCCTTTCTTCTTTCCACTGCTCAGCTTTAGAAACACCTCACCCTCTTCTCGTTTCCCCACACAAATCTAAAAGCAGGAAACAGAAAATAAGATGCTTTGTTTTCTAAGAGGAAACTAGAATAAAAGATTATTTTTACCAATATAAAAACTGTTTTTAAAAGAACGAATAATAACAGACCTTAAAAAAATCTGAAAGTTATTGTGTAAACTGCCTACAGGTTTTTTACTTGTGACTAAGCACTATGAATTTTCTCTTTGTGTGTATATGAATAAAAATCAGTGGATGAAAACTGATTGAATGTGACCCTGAAGGTCAAAAAACAATGTGGGTTTTCTTTCTAATGGTCTATACAATCTGGAAATGATGAGCCTTATTCATAGCAAAGACAAACAGACATAGATAATGCTGGTGCCAATCCTTTGATCGCTCTCTAACCAGGATGCACCCCACTTCTCACACAGCGTGTACTGGATTTGGCTTCAGTCCCTTGAAACCCTTCACAGGACAGGTTTCATGAATTGAGAATTGGAATCCTATCATCAGTGTATGCTGGCTTGCCATAATAGCCTTTTGATGGTTACAATGAAAAAACGGTGAAGCTATCAACAAAAATAAATTAAGTCTCAAACCAGTATTCCACCATTAGTATACCTGGGATTCCCTCACAGCCATGTGTCCTCTCTCTCGGTTGCCGGGATTGCCCTGAATAACCCGCCAAACTCTCTCTCCGGGTCGGACCCTTTGCACAAAGTTGGCAGGAAAAAAACCAACTTTGTCCCCACATTTACCCTGAGGAATGAACCAAAACAGTTCAGTCAGCATTTAAACTGTATCTGGATGCCAAGATAGCTGTCACAGATTCTTTAGATCTAGTTAATGAAATTGCGCAATGATAGCCTGATCTGCACTTACTGGCCCACCAGACTGCACTCAACCCAAATTGTTAGCTGACAATCCAACTTGATTCTTTTTCTGATGGAAAATCTGGAGTTTTACTGTTCCACTGTTGTCAAGTTCAATCTTAAAAGAGGATTGTTGGAAATCTCTATATCAGGGGTCTCGAACTCCAGGCCTCAAGAGCCGGTGTCCTGCAGGTTTTAGATGTGTCCTTGATCCAACACAGCTAATTTAAATGGCTAAATTAGCTCCTCAACATGTCTTGAAGTTCTCCAGAGGCTGGTAATGAACTAATCATTTGATTCAGGTGTGGTGACCCAGGGTGAGATCTAAAACCTGCAGGACACCGGCTCTCGAGGACTAACGTTCCCTACCCCTGCTCTATATAATAAACTGCCTGGCCAAAAAACCCCAAAGTCTAATGCTCTAATATGTCATTGAACCACATTTAGCTTTAGCTTTGATCAGAATTAGAATCACTTTGTAAAAAACAAGGAATCTGTGATAGTGTCGTGCAAAACCCCCCAAAAACAAACAGTAATGCAGATATAGAATGTATGATATTTACAGTACATATAATTATACGTCTCTATATAAATATTAAAAATAAATACACAGACTACCCACAGATATAGAGATGACAGCACGTATTCGCTCTGGCATCATTTTAATAAAGCCATGCAGTGTCACAATATCTATTTCCATCCAGAACCGTGTATTGATGACGGGAGAGTTGGATTTCTGTCTAAAGTATTCTCCAGAACATCCCAAAGATGCTCCGTGGGGTTAAAGTCTGGTCTCTTTGGTGACCAATCCATGTGTGAAAATCCATGCGTTTTCACAGTTGGAATCCCATGAATCCTGGCATTATAATCTTGGAATAGGCCCCTGTAGTTCATCACATGGAAAAATCCATTGAAATACCTGCTCGTTCAGTATATTCAGGGAGTCAGCTGAACTTCTGGACACTTAAAACTGCTGTACCTAGACCTGACCAACTGAAGCAACCCTAGCTATTAATGCTGACCTAACAGGCTTGTCTGGTAGACACTATACATGATGGATGCATCACTACATCCACCTCTCTTATTACCTTGATGCACCCATCAGTCTGGAACAGGGTCAACCTGAAGTCAAACCACATGACCCTTTTCCATTGCTGAACTCAATCTTTTTATTCTCTAGCAAATTGAAGCCTTTTTTCTCCTGATTAGCTCTGGTAAGCGGTTTTCCTAGGGCTGCTATTTAGTGCCAATCCCTTGAATTCTCTTCGTATTATGCATGTGGAATTGCAATTACTTTTGCTATTAAATATAGCCATGAGATGTACTGTTGCTCTTTATTTGAGTTCACCAAACGTCTAAGTGACCTCTGACCACGATCGTTCAAGGTTTTTTTCCAACCACATCTCTTCCTTAGATGATAGTTGGTTTTAATAATGCATTGGACAGTTCTCAGCCCACTTTTAGTAGTTTCAGCAATATCCTTAGTTGTTTTTTTTGTCTTCTTGAAACAAAGTAACATCTTTGTTGCCAAAAAACTGTTGCCAGAAACACATTATTCACTGCAGTAACTAGCCAGTAGAAGGCAGACAGTATATTGTTAAAGCCTTTTTAAAGTCCCCCAAAATGAGTAATTTGGCACCAAATATTCATTCATACTAGTTTTAAACAGTTTTTCAGTGAAGACTGACTGATAAGAACTGAACACTTTTATATCTACCGCTTCCATCTCATAACAGCAAAGCCCAAATGAACTTTTAGTTATTTAGTAGTATAATTGAGCAGGCACCTTTATTGTTATACCATCATAAACAGAAATGAGAGAAACAACACTTTCTAAATTAAAATTCTGCCTCATGTAGTGGCAAATCATCCCATTTTTGCTGTTTGTATAAGAAGGATGAAACATTTGTTTTCCAGGTGCGCACACATAAACAACAGATTTCATCCCTTTCTTGCCAGTGATAACTGGGTATACCTCATTATGCAGCAATGTTTCACAGTTTAACACCCTCTGCCTCAGGTGTTGATGTTGATTCACAAACTATACATTAGTAATGAACAGATGATTCGCAGATTATACATAATTTAAAGGTTTCTTGGAATGAATATGTTGATGTGCTGCTCCGCTTTGGGTTACGTAAGTTCAAGCGAAAACTATGCTCACAGAGTGTACGCTAAATCTGCACTCTGGATGCGTTTTCCTTCTTCGTGAACTGAAACACACGGGCGCACACACAAATGCACATTTATTTCCATTGGGAGTTAGTGAAGCTCATTACAGACTCAATAAGGGCCTCTACGCGACTGCAACAGTAGCCAAGTTCATTATGTTAAACTCTTTTGGTAATTTTCAGAGGAAATTATGTTCTATTTTTGTCTGTGGCTCCTTACATGTTTGCGACAGGCAAAAATGGAGCAGGTGTTTTGCATTAAAAGCTTGGTTTAAAGACCTAATTTAACACATGCGCAGTATGAATGCATGTGCACACACATAAACACACACACACTTCTGAGAACTTGGGGAAAATAAAACACAGCACACACCAACATCACCAGGTATGCACCAACTAGCACACACAGATGTTTGCAAATGATTTATTACCCACCTTCCACCACTCCTCATTAGAGTCGTCAGTGACCTGCACCCGATCACCAGGACTAAAAGAGATAAGACAAGAGAGAAGATGGGAAAAAAGGGCATGAGAAGGGAGGTAATTGGGGTGGAGAGGAAAAAGAGACAGGGAGACAATAGAGGGAAACATGATGGGAAAGGCAACGGAGTAGGGGGGAAGAAAGGAGAGCTGATTGCAAGCACAAAATATTACAGTTATCTAACTGCCACAGAAAGCTGTAGTTTACCCGTGGTAGCAACATTGTGGAGGTTAAAATTTGGGTGAGTCTTTGTGTCTCGCTGTAGAGGTGACAGAACAGCTGAAAACAAAGTCATGAGGTCTACATGAAATATAACTCTATAGTGTCTGCTGCAGCAATGAAGGCTAGGCCTGATCTGCTGCCAGCCTGGCCTGCATACTAATGATGCTACCAATTTTTGATGAGACTTCTCTACACATACACAGTATGCCCACTGTCCTAGATATACAGTTAGAAGCTGTCCCAATTGCATTTCGGTGCATTCTGTCTCCCGGATGTCTGCATTCACAGCTGCCCTATATGATCATGGTATACACACACACACACACACACACACACACA